CAGAAAGAAGAAGTAGAAGTCATATTTGTACCCCTACCATGTTCAGTCTGTTCAATCTACAAATGACAAAATGATTATCATCCCCAAACTGAGACCGTTAACCTGTATTCTGCTCCTGACCCCTGTTTGACAAGCTTCAAGCTCTCACATTATGCCTGTAATTCGCTGCTTATAAGGTGTTCAAGGATCAGCATCCAGGGGCTTGCTAGAAATGCAGAATCCCTTGCCCCTCCACTCCTGGACTTACTGAATCAAAACATGCATTTTGGCCAAATCTGTCAGTGATTTGTATGCATAGTGAAGCTTAAGAAGGTACCATCTACATGACTTTGGGGGGATAAAACCTTTATTAGCATTAATGCCCAGAGATGGATTCTTATCACTGGCTTCTTGGATATACAGTTTTAAAATTTATGATGAATATCTGTCACATTTTAGACCATCCTGCTCTAATTTCCTCATAACATTTGGCCTTTTTATGACCATGTTAACTGAAACATCAACTGGGCCAGCTGAGAGACCCAGAAGGTGAGTCTTAGAAAGTGAAGAGCTGGAAAGGTGTGGCAGAAGTCACTAAGGATCCTTCAACACCCAAAGCAACAACTCTGTACCAAGTGTGTCCACATATACTAAGAGTAGGAAATACACACAGGATTGATTTACAGCATCATGAGTTTGGTGGTTTCAGGGATGGAGAGCAGGAAGAAGGAACAGAGAAGGGGGAAGGGTTTAATTTGCATCTACAACATTTTATTCCTAAAAAGAAGAGATCTGGTGCAAGTATAGGAAACTGTTTTCATCTGGGAAATGTAGGTGGCACATGGGGGCCTCTTAGACTTATTTCTGCACAGTCTGTAGATTTGAAACCTTTATCTAAATTAAGAATTTAGGGGGCGCCTGGGTGGCTCAGTGGGTTAAGCCGCTGCCTTCGGCTCAGGTCATGATCTCAGAGTCCTGGGATCGAGCCCCGCATCGGGCTCTCTGCTCAGCGGGGAGCCTGCTTCCTCCTCTCTCTCTGCCTGCCTCTCTGCCTGCTTGTAATCTCTCTGTCAAATAAATAAATAAAATCTTTAAAAAAAAATAAATTAAGAATTTAGGGGTGCCTGGGTGGCTCAGTGGGTTAAAGCCTCTGCCTTTCGGCTCAGGTCATGATCCCAGGGTTCTGGGATCGAGCCCTGCATCGGGCTCTCTGCTCAGCAGGGAGCTTGCTTCCCTTCCTCTCTCTCTGCCTGCCTGTCTACTTGTAATCTCTGTCTGTCAAATAAATAAATAAAATCTTTAAAAAATAAATTAAGAAATTAAACATTTAAAACAGTGGGGGGGGGTACATTCTAGGTGTCCTGTGGGTGGATGAGAGGAGGAGACAGGCCACAGCAGGGAACCGGGACAGGTGATGACAGAGTTGAGGCTTAGCAGGGGGCTGGTGAGAGAGATGATCGAGTTGAGTGGAGGACGCTTATCCCTCAATTAAGCCCTTTCCAGAGAGGAAAGCAGTGTTCTCATTGGGACATTACCTGTCAAGTTTCCCTCTCTCCCACCTCTGGGATTTTCTTCCTCCTGTGTCCCCTACCTCCATCACCCTTCTTCATTATCTTAAATGGCTACCTCCTCCTTCTTTAGGTCTTACCTCAGATGCGCCCTTCTATGCAAGCCTTCTCTGACCACCCCTCCCACCCCCCACCTCCAGGTTGGTTGGATTAACTTCTCTGGACTCTCAAAGGTAAGCCTCTTTCTGATGAAAAATGCCCTACACCTGGGTGGCTCAGTGTGTTAAGCCTCTGCCTTCGGCTCAGGTCATGGTCTTAGGGTCCTGGGATCGAGCCCCGAATTGGGCTCTCTGCTCCGCGGGGAGCCTGCTTCCTCCTCTCTCTCTCTGCCTGCCTCTCTGCCTCCTTGTGATCTGTCAAATAAATAAATAAATAAATCTTTAAAAAAAAAAAAGTGTTGGATTTCCTTTTCAGGAGAGCTGGAAAGCACCTATAAGAGTTCTCACAGGGAGGAGGAGAGAACCCCACCTGCTTTGGAGAGTGGGAGAGTGTGACATTACTCACTGCCACATTGGCCTCCTTTTTGTGTTTGCAATTGCCATTCCCACTCTGGGCACCTGGTTCTCATAGTTCTTGGAGCAGCTCTGACACTTGGGCTTCTGTGTTTCAGCTCAAAGAACATCTTAGAAAAGCTTGCCTTCCTTCCTTCCTTCTTTCCTTCCTTCCTTCCTCCCTCTCTCTCTTTCTCTGTCTTTCAGATTAATTTATTTGAGAGAGTGAGAGAGCTTCAGCAGGAGCAGGGGAGGGAGAGGGAGAGGGAGAGGGAGAGGCAGGCTCCCTGCTGAGCAGGGAGCCTAATGCAGGACTCAATCCCAGGATGCTGGCATCATGACCTGAGCTGAAGGCAGACACTCAACTGACTGAGTTACCCAGGGGCCCCTTAGAAAGGCTTTCTGTGGCAAAGCCAGCTAGTGTCAGCCAGTCTGAGACTACATTTTCCAAAAGCCCTTGCAACCAGTTGAGATCATGAGACTAGTTCTGTCCAATGGACTGTGAATAAGAGATGTATATCACTTAGGGCCAAAACTCTATTTTAAAAAAAATCCCCCTGGATTACTGAGGTATAATTGATGAAAAATGTAAGCTATTTAAAGTGTACAGCATGATTATTTGTTATACGTATACATTGTGAAATTATTACCACAGCCAAGTTAACTAATACATCCATTACCTCACATAGTTGCCTTTCCCCCCCTTTTTTGGTGAGAGCAAGTAAGGTATACTCTCTTAGAAAAAAAAAAATTTAAAGATGATTTATTTATTTATTTGACAGAGAGAGAGATCACAGGTAGGCAGAGAGGCAGGCAGAGACAGAGAGGGAAGCAGACTTCCTGCTGAGCAGAGAACCCAATGCAGGGCTCAATCCTAGGACCCTGAGATCATGACCTGAGCTGAAGGCAGAGGCTTAACCCCCTGAGCCACCCAGGCGCCCCACTCTTAGAAAATTTTTAAGTACGATACACTATTATTCACCATAGTCACCATGTTATATATTAGATCCTAAGATCTTATTCATCTTATATAACTGAGTGTTTGAATCCTTTTAAAAGCCTGTCCCCATTTCCCCCAGCCCCTGGCAACCACCATTCTACCTTCTGTTTCTGTGAGTTTGGCTTTTTTAGATTGCATATATAAGTGATACCACACAGTGTTTGTCTTTCTCTAGCTGACTTAATCTCACTAGCATAATGGCCTCAAGATCTATCTGTGTTGTTGCAAATGGCAGGATTTCATGTTTCTCATGATTTAATAATATTTCTTTATATATAAAGAAATAATATGGTGTGTATACACACACACACACATACACACACACACACACACACCCCAAATCCTCTATCATTTCATTCATTGGTACACACTTGGGTTGTTTCCATATCTTGGGTATTGTGAATAATGCTGCTGTAATTATGAGAATATGGATGTCTCTGAGACAGTGATTCCCCCCCCCCCTTTGGATATATTCCTAGAAGCTGAATTGCTAGATCATTTGGTAGTTCTACTTTTAAGTTTTTGAGGAACCCCCATCTCATATTTCATAGTGGCTGTACTGATTTACATTCCCATCCAAAAGTGTATAAGGATTCAGTTTTGGGCTGAGGATTTTAGGAAGCAAGTGGGGGTTCTCCAGTCTTTCATCTGGAATCCTTCAGAAGACTCTGAGCATTTTAGGAGATGGTGGAATCACCAAGGGGAAGGAGTCTGGATCCCTAACTTAATATGTGGGCAACCAGAAATGCCCACTTTGGGAGGTTCGGTGAATGTGAAATAAACAATTTTGTGAGTACTGAAATGGTGGGGTTTATTTGTTATAGCCGCTAGTATGACTCGAAACAGTATACTTCTAGACCTCATTGCTCAAGAGCTCACTGTACTTCAGACTATTTGTGGTTGCGGAGTAGGACTCATTTTTTAATCTCTCCAATCTGTCCAATCTCTGTCCAACAAGAGAAGTCTTTTGATATTGATTATATTCAAGAATTATATTCAAGAATCAAGAATATTGGTTATATTCTTGGATGTCCTGGCCATGTCAAATTTCTGTGAGTTTTGTAATGCTTACTGGCAATTTCTGCACTTATCTTGTTGCAGACCATTAACAACAGTGGACCAGTAGTGGTACTGCTTTAGCTTATTACCTTGTGTTATGTCTCTCCTTATCATTTACCACTCCCTATGATTATCTTGTTTATTTAGAGGTCTATTTGCTTATGGTATTCTTCCCAGTAGAACGTAAGCTCCTTCAGAAGGAGTTGTACTTATCTTGCTCTGTTGAGTTTCCAGCTCCTAGTATAGTGCCTGGTACATTCTACATGCTCAGAAATTCTGTTTTGAATAATGAATAAATTACAAACTTTGGTGGTGGGGGGGAGAAGAGGCAACCATACCTGTAATAGAAGTTCTCTACAATTGTAACTTGACCTGAATTCCTATCAGTTTACTGACAACTGCTTGACTCCCTGGCTTTCTGGTAGACCATAAGTACCCAAGATTAGGTCTGGTCTCTTACAACCCTCCTCTCTAAGTTTCCCCTGCTGGAGATTAGACCACACTGGACTGTCACTGCCTGGTGATATATCTGTCTTCACCTGGTTTATAAGTCCAGAGAGGGTATGGTGAATCTGAAGTGGTCACTGATATATCCCCAGCGTCATAGCACAGCCAAAGCCATTGGTATGAACAGACTTATGGCATGAATGTATGATGTGAACAGGAAGAAGATGCCCTGAGAAAAAAGTGCCCCACCCTGCCTCCACAGCCCCTATCCCCTGGCAGGATCCCAGGATTGATTCTGAACTTTGGTCCAGTGGACTGCCCAGCTGCCCCTTTCTTACTCCATCGACTACCTCAAGATGCTGGCTCAGGCTGTCAACACTTAGCAGTCCAGACATTTAGAAAAGGTTTTCCCATTTGGCCCAAATGGATACTTAGAGCCAAGGTAAGTATCACTGTTGTATATATTTGGTAGTTTGCTGAAAAGGAGGTTAACGAGCAAATAAGTCCATCATGAGGAGTATCAAGATGGTGAGGGTGATGAGGCTTCCTAAAACAATCCCCAAGACTGCAATGTAGTAGGTTTGGTGGGAGGTCTCGGCTGCCAAGGCTCTGTTATTCCACATGTTGCTGTGCCTTGTCTGGTTAGAGGGGAGAGGCAGGGCAGGAATAGTTGGCCTTTAATGGGTTATTGTAATGGGTGAGCTATGGGACTGAAAGGACCCAGGGTGGGGACTTGAACCCACAGGAGGGACAAAAGAAAGAATTTGAGTCAAGGTCAAGGCCAGGATGAAAAGGGAGTACAGGAGGAGAGGATTGGCATGAAAAGGTTTCCCACCTGGACAGAGAAGATCAAGGCTACAATGCCTATGGGAAAACACAGGAGGAAGGCGCAAATCGATAGGCCCATGTGGTCTTTGGGGGGCTTGTCCCGCAAAATTTCAAATGCCTGTGGGCAGGGAATGGGTCATGGCTCAGTATGGCTTTTGGACTGTGCTGTCCCCTCTAACTCTTTTTCATGATAACCTGGCTCCTATAAATTCTTTGTTGACCTCCTTTAAAACCTCATACTGACTCCCTCTAATTCCTATCATCTCCCCTGTAACCTGTCATTATTGCCTTTAATACCTCCTTCTACCCTGGATCTCCCAGCCCCCTCCACTCCTATGCTCTAAAATGCCTGCCTGTTCCCAGTAGCCCTTTCCCTGTCTCCTATAACCTCCTCCCTGTCTTCTAGAACTGCCTTGCAGGTCTCTACAGCATGTCTCACTTGGCCCCTAACACCGCCCCCACAAAATCCCTTGCTGACTCTGATGACTCTCATTGCCCTCCCTGGAGCCACAACTGAGCCACTATCACACTTTGTTCCTGTAACACTGTCATGGTCCCCGAAAGCAGCCTTTTGCCCCTATAAAACACCTACAGAGAAGACCCTACTCAACACTTGAACACTGCTTTCCATCTATAGAACCTTGTTCCGTCATAAAGCTCTCTCCCTATAAAACTGTGTGTGCCTACAGTACCTCTCTCTTGATCTCATTTGCTCTCTCTCTCACTTTGTCCCTATGGACCTGTCATGGTCTGTATGAGCCTTACTGTTTACCCATAAACTCTCCCTTCCCCTCCCCCCGCCCATGGCCTCTCTGTTGGCTCCTCTAAGACCTTCCTTGACCAACTCTAAATTCTAAGTCCTCTCAGTGTCCCTTTATAGCCTCTTTTCTGTCCCCTTATAAAGGCCTGCCCTTTCTCCCTCTGCCACCTTCTCCCTACCTCTGAAACCAGCGTCCTGATCCTCTGAACCCCTCTTTCCTCCACTCATAGTAGCCTCCCGGTTCTCCTAAAGCCGTGTTCCCTCTAAATAGTTCTTATAATACCCTGTCTCCTCTTGAGACACTCCTTTCCCCCTCATTCTGCCATTACTCACGCTTTCTTCCTCCCACCCTATCCCCCCATAAATTCCCTGCCCCTTCAAACACCCCCATTAAGGCATCTGGGCCTGGGTACAAGGAGCTTCTTCCTCATTCCAACCTGACAGGGGTTACCGCGGAGACCATGCAGGCCCCGCCTCCTATCCGGTCTTTCTATTATTATTGGCTGATTGAGGTTGCATGTGATAGGGCGGGAAATCCAATACTCACAAGGGTGCTGATTGGTCTGAAGGAGTTCAAATTCTTCCTACTCTCTTAGGTGATTGGTCAGTTCCGGGAGTTGTTTTTATTAGTTTAGTTTCGAAGGCCGTTTATGTGTTTTGGATACAAGTCCTTTCTCAGATATGTAATTCGCAAGTGTTTTCTCTGGGTCTGTTGTTTATCTTTTAAATTTTCTAACAGTGTCATGTGCAGAGGAAAGTTTTTAATTAGTATTAAACTCAATTATTTTTTTCTTTTATGGATGTGCTTTTGTTGTTATGTCTAAGAGTTTCTCTGCTTAATCCAGTGTCAGGAAGATCTTCTATGTTTTCTTCTAAATGTGTGATAGACTTACATTTTACATTTAAATATGTGATCCATATTGAGTTCATTATTGTATAAGGGGTAGGATTTTCCTTTTTTTTTTTTTAAGATTTTATTTATTTGACAGACAGAGATCACAAGTAGGCAGAGATGCAGGCAGAGAAGGGGTGGGGGGAAGCAGGCTCCCCGCTGAGCAGATACCGCCCCCCACCCACCCCACCCCGATGCGGGGCTCGATCCCAGGACTCTGGGATCATGACCTCAGCTGAAGGCAGAGGCTTTAACCCACTGAGCCACCCAGGCACCCCAATAAATAAAATTTTTAATAAAAAAATTTCCTATGGCTCAAAAAAGAAATCAAAAGAAAAATTAAAAAGCATTTTGAGGGACACCTGGGTGGCTCAGTGGGTTAAAGCCTCTGCTTTTGGCCCAGGTCGTGATCTCAGGGTCCTGGGATGGAGCCTCACATCCGCCTCTCTGCTCAACCGGGAGCCTGCTTCCCCCTCTTTCTGCCTGCCTCTCTGCCTACTTGTGGTCTCTGTCTGTCAAATAAATAAATAAAATCTAAAAAAAAAAAAAGCATTTTGAGCTGAATATAAGTGAAGACACAAAATGTAAAAATATATGTGAGTTTGTCAAAGCAGTAGTTAAGGGGAAATTTATAGCAATAAATGGCTATTTTAGAAAAGAACAGTGTCTTAGTCCACTCAGGTTGCTATAACAAAAAGCCATAGACTGGGTAGCTTATAAACAACAGAAATGTATTTCCTATAGTTCTGGAGACTGGGAAGTCCAAGATCAAAGTACTGGTATATTCAGCATCTGGTAAGAGCCTCACCTTCCTCCTAGACAAGAGTCTTCTTAGTGTAATCTCATGGTGGTTGTGGCAAGAGATTTCCCTCAGGCCTCTTTTATATTGGCACTAATCCCTACATGAGGGTTCTGCCCTCATGATCTAATCACCTCTCAAGGCTCTACTTCTAAGTACCATTATGTTAGGGATGAAGCTTAAGTGAATTTTGTTGAGACACAAACATTCAATTTATAGCAAACCATCTAAAATTAACGATGTCTGCTTTCTCTTCAAACGTCTGGAAAAAAGAAGAGAAAATTACCCTAAAAGTAAGCACAAGAGTCTTTTTCAACAAATGGTGTCAGGAAAGCTGGATATCCACATTGCAAGAGAATGAAGTTCAATCCTTACCTTATCCCATCTATCAAAATTAACTCAAAGTGGATCAAGAAAATATTTGCTAATCATATATCTGATAAAGGGTTAATATTGGAATACATAGGGATGGCCTGGGTGGTTCAGTCTGTTAAGCCGCTGCCTTCGGCTGGGATCATGATCCCAGCGTCCTGGGATGGAGTCCCACATCGGGCTCCTTGCTCGGCAGGGAGCCTGCTTCTCCCGCTGCCTCTGCTGCCACTCTGTCTGCCTGTGCTCTCCCCCTCTCTCTCTCTCTCTCTCTCTGACAAATAAATAAATAAATAAATAAATCTTTTTTAAAAAATTTAGAATATATAAAAAAACTCTTGCTACTTAACCAAAACAAAAATAACCTGACTTAAAAATGGAGAAAGGACTTGATTAGACATTTCTTCAAAGAAGATATGCAAATGACCAAGAAGTGTTTGATCAGCATCACTAATCATTAGGGAAATGACAATCAAAATCACAATGAGATGTCACCTCATACCCATCAAGATAGCAATTATTAAAAAAAAAAAACAAAAGACAAGTGTGAAGAAGGTAGTGCAGAGAAATCGGAACATCAGTGCACCGTTGGTGGGAAAACAAACTGGTATACCTGCTCTGGAAAAATCTATGGTGGTTCCTGAAAAATAAAAAAATAGAATTACATATGATGCAGCAACTCCACTTTTAGGTATATATCCAAAAGAATTGAAAACAGGGTCTGTAAGAGGTATTTGTACATCCCTATTTTTACTGCAGAATTATTCACAATAGTCAAAAGGTGATACTAACCCAAGTGTCCATTGATGGATGAATAGATAAATAAAATGTGATTGAGTTTCTTTGGTTTGCTTCCCTCTTTCTTTTTTACCCCCTTCCCATATGTTCATCTATTTTGTTTCTTAATTTCCACATATGAGTGAAACCGTATGGTATTTGTCTTTCTCCGACAGACTTATTTCACTTAGCATAATACACTCTAGCTCCGTTCATGTCATTGCAAATGGCAAGATTTTATTCTTTTCGATGGCTGAGTGGTATTCCATTGCATATATATACCACATCCTCTTTATCCATTCATCAGTTGATGGACACTTGGGCTCTTTCCATAGTGTGGCTGTTGTTGATAATGCTGTTATAAACATTGGGGTGCATGTACCCCTTTGTATCTGTATTTTTGTACCCTTTGGGTAAATACCTAGTAGTGCAATTGCTGGGTCTGAGGGTATCCTATTTTTAACTTTTTGAGGACCCTCCATACTGTTCCCCAGCGTGGCTGCACCACTGACAAATAAATAAATAAATAAATAAATTTCAGCAATGTAAGATGAATCACTAAATTATACTTTTTTTTAAAAAAGATTGTATTTATTTATTTGACAGACAGAGATCACAAGTAGGCAGAGAGGCAGGCAGAGAGAGAGGGAGAGGCAGGCTCCCCGCTGAGCAGAGAGCCCGATGTGGGGCTCGATCCCAGGACCCTGGGATCATGACCCGAACCAAAGGCAGAGGCTTTAACCCACTGAGCCACCCAGGTGCCCCAACTAAATTCTACTCTTGAAACCAATATTACACTATATGTTAACTACCTAGAATTTAAGTAAAAATTTGAAAAAGACAAAAAAAATGATAGATATCCTTAAAAAGGAAGGAAATTCTGATATATGCTATAATATGGATGGACCTTGTGTACATTATGCTAAGAAAAATAAATGTCGCCAAAAGACACTATATGATCCCACTTATATGAGGAACCTAAAGTAGTCAAATTCATAGAGACAGTAAGTAGAATGGTGGTTGTCAAGGGCTGGGGGGAGGAAGGGAATGGAGAGTTGTGTTTATTTTATTTTATTTTTGAGATTTTATTTATTTATTAGAGAGGGAGAGAACGAGCAGGCAGGGCAGCAGGCAGAGGGAGAGGGAGAAGCAGGCTTCCCGCTGAGCAGAGAGCCATTCCTGGGGCTCAATCCCAGGACCTGACAGAAGGCAGATGCTTAACTGACTGAGCCAACCAGGTTCCTCAGGAATTGTGTTTAACGGGTATGGAGTTTAGTTTTACAAGATGAAAAGGCTTCTGGAGATTGGTTGAAAATATGAAAGGTACTTTATAATACTGAACTTCAAAGATTTTAGAATGGTAAATTTTATATTATGTGTATTTCACCACAATTTTTAAAATGCCATTTATAATAGGGTCAAAAATATTAAATACTTGAGGATAAATCTGACAAAAGGCATGTAAGATTTAAACATTGAAAATTACAAAACACTGCAAAGAGATTTTTTTTTAAAGTTTTTATTTATTTATTTTACAGAGAGAGACATAGTGAGAGAGGAAACACAAGCAGGGGGAGTGGAAGAGGGAGAAGCAGGCTTCCCACTGAGCAGGGACTCCATCCCAGGACCCCGAGATCATGACCTGAGCCCAAGGCAGACGCCCAAAGACAGCCACCCAGGCACCCCTGCAAAGAGATTTTAAAGATGTCTTGAGTAAATGGAGAGATGTGCCATGTTCACGAATTGGAAGACACAAAATATTGTTAAGATGTCAATTCACAAACTGATTTATAGAGTCAGTGTAGTCCCAATGCAGGCTTTTTCTTTTAAAATAAATTTACAGCTTATCCCTAAATTCAGATGGAAATAAAAAAGAACTAGAATAGTCCAAACAACTTTGAAAAGGAAGAGAGGGAAGAATTCACACTGTTTCACTTCAAGGCCTGTTTTAAGTCAGAAATTAAGACAGTGTGGTATTGATCAAGAAAGACAAATAGATCATGGAAAAGGGTAGCCTATTCTTAGTTCAAAGACAGATCTTAACATATGCAAGCATTTGAGGTTTTTAAAATGTGCAAAAACAATAGAGTGAAGAAGGCTAGTGTTTTCAACAAATGTCCTGGGATTAATTGGCTATCCATATGCAGAAGAACACACTTAGATGCATATCTTATGCCAATAAAAATGACCTCAGCATGGATCCTAGATCTAAATGTAAAACCACAACCATAAAACTTCTAGAACATAAGAGAAAACTCGAGTTAATCAAAGATTTCTGAGATTCAACAACAAAAGCATGATCTGTTAAGGGCAAAATTGGCCTCATCAAAGTTAAAACTTCTGCTCTTCAAAAGATACTGTTAAGGGGCGCCTGGGTGGTACAGTCATTAAGTGTCCAACTCTTGGTTTTGGCTCAGCGGTTGTGATCTCAGGGTCATGAGTTTGAGCCCAATGTTGGGCTCTGCACTCAGCGCGGAGTCCGCTTCAAATTCTCTCTCCTTCTCCTTTCGCCCCTCCCATTTGCACTCTCTCTCTCAAATAAATAAATAAATAAATAGATATTTTTTAAAGACGACATTGTTAA